TGAGGGCCTTTGTTGGTTGGTGGAGTTAAGCAATGGGCGGCTGAATAAGCCACTCATTCCCCTGTCAAATCTGAGAAGATTTTCAGTTGCTTGACAAAGCCCAATTCTGTAAACAACATATCTTCTGCATTTCATTTGCAGCTTTCTGTGGGAAAGATTCCCAAAGACCTTGCCAATTACCAAAAGACCAATGGCCTGAGTGTGTACCTTACACCTTCAAGATGTAGTCATCTTTTATGCAGTACAACAGCATCTCAGTACAGAGCCTGAAAGAACCATAGCAACCTGTGAGGAAATACTGTTAAAGGAATTTATTGCAGCCCAATCACTGCTTCTGAAACAAAGCCAGGAGTATATTTGGGCATCTGGCCACCAGGACAATCTAACCCCACAAGCAAAACAAACATATTGGAAAACTAGGATTTTTCAGACAAAATAAATAGTAGAGAAGGGGGGGTAGGCTGGGCCAGGGACCTTTGTAATCTGTTGCATCATTGAGTAATAGTCAATGTTTCCACTTGAGGTGACAGAAAAGATAAATTCTCTGTTCACATGATGTACAGACACACCCATACGTCACTACCAGAGTGCTGGTGTCTCACCAAACTGCAAATCCCAGTATTCCATGACACTGAGTAATGTCAGTTTTGTTGTTGTTCATTCATTCAGTCATTTCCAACTCTTCGTGATCTCATGGACCAGCCCACACCAGATCTCTCTGTCGGCCGTCACCACCCCCAGATCCTTCAAGGTCAATCCAGTCACTTCAAAGATGCCATCCATTCATCTTGCCCTTGGTCGGACCCTCTTCCTTTTTCCTTCCATTTTCCCCAGCATCATTGTCTTCTCTAAGCTTTCTTTCTTCTCATGATGTGGCCAAAGTCCTTCATCTTTGCCTCTACTATCCTTCCCTCCAATGAGCAGCCGGGCTTTATTTCCTGAAGTATGGACTGGTTGGATCTTCTTGTGGTCCAAGGCACTCTCAGAACTTTCCTCCAGCACCACAGTTCAAAAGCATCTATCTTCCTTCGCTCAGCCTTCAAGTGGAATCAAACTGTACTATTTCTACAGTATAGATGCACCCACTCGATTCCTAGAGAGGAAATGTGGTCTTCTCCCCAAGGAAATGTTTTGTGGGAACTTTTCCTTTCAGGAGATGACAGAGGTCTCTGACTCGTTTCTAACAGGTGGAATAGGAAAGTTGATCAGTTCCGTGTGGTTATGGGTATACATTTTTCCATTCTTTGCCACTAGGAGAGGAAGAATAAAACTGTTTTTTTTCCAGAAAATGAAATAGCACTCCTTTCCCAACTCCCGCATTTTTGGAATTGTGGAGGAGAGAAGCCATCCCTTTTTATTAATCAAGATGAAGAAGTAGCCAAAAAAGAGGTGAAATTTAACCAATTAGGAGTTCCCTGTTCCTAACCTGCAATCCCTTGTCTTCTCTATCAGTTTGTTTTGGAGTCCAGAGACTTTGCTGCCTGGGGTACAGTGCAACACTTGCATTCCCCCCATCCTATGAAAATGTGTAGAGCATTCAAACTCCAGCAAGTTCTTTCAGAACATAAGACCGCAAACTCCACAAGTGCGTCTCCCTATAACTGACAAGTCACTGCCTTTTTACAACATGCAAAATCTAATGCCCCAACCTAAAGATACCAATGTGCAAAGAAAACCCACAAGCCTGCCTATCTCTCCACTAGAGGGTGATGTTTTTACTCCTCATAAAGATGAATACAAAGTTGGGAGGCTGGTGTCACTTTCGCTGCAGCTGGGAGCCCAACTGTAGCAATACAAAGCTCTGTGTTGTGTGGCCTTGCAAGCAGGGGCTATTGTCCCTTGTTCAATTGCTCCTTGCCAGAAGAGAAAAACTGTTTGCTTCTCCACCCCCACTCCAAATTGATTAGAGGAGGCTCATTATCTGTATCAGGCCTTTGTGACTGTCAAAGTGCCTAGTCTTGCCTACAAGAGAAATTACTCCTCTTCGACCAAGGGAAAAAATGAATGTTATTAATATTTTCCTCCTCCTTATTTGGTGGGGGCATAAATTGGTTTCTTTTACTTTGGTGTGTTTTCTTGGGGTGCACCTACACTGTGGAATGAGTACAGTTTGATACCACTTTAAATGCCATGGCTCAATTCTGTTATATTCTGGGTTAAATCATCGATTCACCTAACACAATATTATCAATTCTGACTAGCAATGGTTTCCAAGATTTCAGGCAGAAGCCTTCCTTTGTCCCATCTGGAGATGCTGCTGGTCAAACCTAGGACCATCTATTGGAAATCATATGCTCTACTTTTGAGCACTCATACTGTTTGTTTGAGATATTATTTTATTCAAACACATATTTGACAGGAGAGTTGGACTTATGACCTCATCGGATGGGCTGATTTATCTGTCGTATGCCACTTCTTCTCCCCTTTCTCCATAGAGCACATTACATGATGCACAAGGACTTCTGGTTAGGTTCCATGGTGAAAAAGGAAAGGAAGTGGCATATGCCGCTGCTGCAGCAACACCAAAAGGTTCCTGTGTTGTCTTTGAACAATGGGGGTCCATGTAAGTCAGGTAATGTGGGGCATGGAGCGACAGGTTCTCCATGCCCTCTGGCGAGACCCCACAGATTCACCACGATGCATGGCAAATCCTCATTCTAATGTGATGACGTCTTTTATTAGAAGGGTGTTTAGATCCGTTGCAAGGTTTTTTTTCCCATTGATACATTTTAATTGTTTTAATTAAGAAAATTAAATTGTTGTAAATTTTTTTGTATCACTTTAAGATGCACGCTGGGCTTTTTTTTCATGTCAGGAGCAACTTGAGAAACCGCAAGTTGCTTCTGGTATAAGAGAATTGGCCGCCTGCAAGGACATTGCCCAGGGGATACCTGGGCAATGGTGGGAGGCTTCTCTCATGTCCCTGCATAATAAGCTGAATCTGACAGATGGGAGCTCACTCTGCTCCCCGGATTCAAACCACCAACTTTTCGGCCAGCAGTCCTGCCAACACAAGGATTTAACCCATTGTACCACCGGGAGCTCCAGGCTGGGCATAAATCAAACCAATAAGTAAAATAAATGGGCTGGTAAGCTAACATTCAACTGATACCAAACCTCCATACGTTCCAGCTGTCCCGATTTGGCTGAAACAGTCCCAATTCATCCTCTATGGTCTCACATTTTCAACTGCTTTTACATCTTCTCAATTTCCCCTTTTGTCCTCAGCTTACCTCAGTTGTTGCAAACTGAGTTTGAAAACGCAAAAGTATACTGTGGCCTTAATTCGGGGGATGGTGAGGACAAAAGGGGACAGCAATTGGCCCTTTCCAGTAGATTCAGACAAAAGCAAACTGCAGCAGCCTCTCCTAGCTTGTGTGTTCTTCCCATTAATAACTTTTATCATCTTGGCCACATGCTGATATTGTTTGTCCAGGCATGCCCTGATTTACATATGTGAAGCATTAGAGAGTATGAGCCTTTGGATTGAAAGCAGGCAGTCCTGTAAGACATATTCAAGCCCTCATCATTAGGGAAGCAAACTGCTATTTATTGTGGACTGAAGATTAAGCGAATTCTAATCTAGAAAATTGAAAATCTAGAAATCTAATATAGCTTTTGGTCACATGTTTATAGGCTTGTTGTGTTAGTGATGGGCTGGAGCACTTTAAGTAGTTGGTAAATGCTCTTAGTACAAATGGAAGTAACCATAGCTTTTGGTTGCTTGCCTGAGAAAGAGGCTCTATTGAAAGAAAAAAGGATTGGCTACTTATAAATCATGGGTAAAGAGCTTTTGAGCACCATACAAAGAAGAAATCACAAAAAGTTTATTTCTTTAACAAGTCTCAGGTTCAAGTGCCAAAGAAAATGCAGCCTCTAACTGCACAATATTGACACAATATGAGGTTATTTATAGCAATTAGCATCATATTTTGTATCTAGCTGTGAGGTCCATATACCCATAGTGGCAAAACTCACAATGTCTTTCCCCCACAAGCTTAGAGTACTCCTATTATTGACAATTGACAATTGCTATGTGCTTCCAAATCGTTTTCAATGTATGGCAATCTAAAGGCAAACCAACCATGGAGCTTTCTTGGAAAAGTTTATTTGGAGGCAGTTTGCCATTACCTTCCTCGGAGAATAGCAGATTCAATCTATACATGAGGAAAAAATCCATGATGATAAAAATTGTTTGATGGCGGGATATGCTGCCTCAGAGTTTTTTTAACAGAGGCTGAATGACCATCCATCAGGAGAGCTTTTACTGTGCATTCTTGTATGGCAGGATCGGTTTGGACTGGATGGCTCCTTAGAGCCTCTTCCAACTCTATGATTCTAGATATCCAGTGAGTTTCCATGGCTGAGAGGTCATTCAGGCATTGCTATCTCCAAGGGCTTAATTCAAGTTTCGATGGAGCACTGGCTCTTCTTTTACAGTTATATTGGCTAGCAAATTCAGCACTGATTCAGAAAGATATCTTCCATTTCCACCTTCACTGTTAGTTTGTTAGGTTTTTTCCCCAAAGGATTGCATGCACATTTATTCAGTTAATTTATTCTCTCTTAAAGAAAAAAAATGCATGCATCAATTTTTCAAATATTGAGAAAACTGTTTCAGGAGTAGGAAAAAATGTATGATTGTTTTCATCCCGTCAGCACTGTGTCCAGCCAGCTATAGTTGTAATGCATAGAAGTGGCTTTCATCAGTTTAATCTGTTAAAAGGACTGTACACATCTTAAATAAAACAGTGAGAACACCTGTCAATACGTCTGTGCACATCCTTGTTAGCACTGTAGTTTTAATAGGTTTGTGTACAGTTCATAGTGTGTTAATGCCAAAAGCAATATTTTTATTTTAGGAAATGGGTGGGACCTCAGCATCATCTACCTTGGGAGTTTCCAGGATGTAATAAAGAGTTGTTTGTTTACAAATTTTCTGGAACCATTATTATTTCCTTTTAGCTGTTAACCTTCTGGATTTTATTTTGTTTTTTCAGTTGGCAGGTTCAGCTGTCGTCGCATTTGGGCTGTGGCTGCGGTTTGGAAATGTAATAAGAGATTTAGCAACTGATGAAAAGTCCCCAGAATACTTTTATATGGGTAAGTTATGTTTAAATAATGATCAAACCTCCCCCCACCCACACACGCACACCCCAACCGAAAACGGTCTGCTTTTAATGGCCCACTGCTGTAGAATCCCCCAAAACTCTTGTGATGTTCTCTGACAAGTATCTCAACTTAGCCTGCTCAATAGCCACCTCCTTTCTTTCAACAGCAATATCAGGAGAAGGAGGACTTGGAAGAGTTGGCTCCCAAGAGTCAAGAAACTGCACATCTGTGTAATATCAAGCTCAGTGTTGTGGAAACAATACCATGTGTTGACTGAATCAAGTATTCAGTGCTAACAAGTAGATGCTGGAAGTTAGCAACGCCAGTGTCTCTTAGTGCAAATAGGCAATTTGTTTGTTTTTGCTTAAGAATACATCTATATTGCAGAATTAATGCAGTTTGTCATGGCTCAGTGCTATGGAATCCTGGGATTTGTGAGCACCAACACTCTTTGGCAGAGAAGGCTAGAGAGCCTGTAAAAGTACACCTCTCATACCCCAGGCTAATGAAAATGAACTTGAAGGCATCCCTCCCGATAATCTTTTTGTTCTTGAGTGTGCAAGAATTGAGAAATGGTAACCAGACTATTTAGAGCTCAAGTGAGACCCTTTTAGGTCATTTCATATAGTTAATGCTTACTTTTTAGAACACTTCTGCTCATGGGATGCTTGAAGTAGATCAGAATATATTAAAACAATAAACAATATAACACAATACAAAAAATTAAAAATCAACTCAAATCCATAAATAATAAACCAGTTTTCATTACAGCGGTGCCAATAAAATTCAGTAATAAGATTAGATTCCGTTAAAGACAGCAAAGATGGGTGCCTGATGCATTGGCTGGGAACTCCCAAGCCGCAACTAAGAAAGACCTGCCAATTAAACACTAAAAGGATTTCTCGGTAGGATGGAGGGAATTAGATGCCCAGAATTTTGCAGTATTTCTATCCCTTTTGGTAACAAAGACATTAACTAAAAAGAAAATGGGTAAGCCAGGAAATTTTCAAACAAAAGGTGGGATTTTTGACTTGCAGAGTGACTGGCTTTCTTTGTAAAGGAATTAACAGGTAAATAGGCAGTCATATCTCTCCTAGATTGAGACTGGTGTTTCTATAAAAACCATCTGTATGTCCAGACATGTACAAGAATAATAATTCCATGTTCCATTTTGATTTCAGTGTCATGGTTGTTATGGTTTCTATTTAATGTGCAGTGGGATGCAATAGTAAACAATTTCACAGAATACTGTTAAATAGGACGTCAACTAGAGGGCATTTGGCAGAAAGCATTTTTGCAGATAGACACCATCTCATGTTTTTTTTTCTCCCCTTGAAACAGTGAAGTGAATTTACCCATGCTCTTCTGCACTATAATAATAGCTCTGCACATTGAGGTTCCTGGACTACATGTCTGATTCAAGTTAAGTGATAATTGCTGTAGTAATGGCCAAATCTTCTTGGGCCTGAGTACAGATCGGATTAAAATGTCCATGTTGATTATGGATCATGACTAGTGTTTCTTGAGGTGGTGTGTTAGAGCAGCTTAGCAAGGGATGGGCTGAAAACCATGGGGAAATAAAGTTGTAGTCCTCATGCAGCAGTGGTAAATCCTTGGCCCCCCAAGAAGTAGTTGGACTATAGCTCTCATTATTCCTGTCATGTTGCTTGGGTTGATGGGAGTTGAAGACTAACCACAGTTGGAAGTTCGGAAGTTGTTAATCCCTTGTGTCCTGGTAGCTTTGGACAGTTCTTGATACCATACCATGACTTTCTGGCAGGGTGTTCCTGTTCCTGTAGTCTAGGATGCATTATATTGAAAGATAGAAGCTGTAGATGCAGTTTACTGGGTAACTCTGCTAGTGGAGTAAGAGATTTATCAACACAAGTACTTGCATGTAAAGAGTTCTACCTTCCCATCCATCCTCTGACCGTTTGCATGGATGGCAATCAGAGCCATTTTCCCAGCTCTGTGTTTTTTAATACTCTTCACGAAGGCATGCTCCTCTAAAAGAGCAGAGGGGCTCTGTGTTGGGTTCAGTGGCCCCTTGAAGCTGACAGCTGCACTTTTGCAGTCTGAGAGGCTTTTGCGGTTTATATTTGTTCTCTTTGCTGGGGCAGCTGCTCAGGAGCTTGGTGAAAGAGAAGGAATCAGATAATCAATGTGACAGGGAGATGTAAATCTGTTCAGTTACATTAAGTATCCTTCTTCGTGGTTGTTTACATTGGCAGCCTTACAGATAATTTCTGGCTTTGCTCAGCCAGGCTCCTTCAAGGAGAGCAAGCCGTTGCCTTCTTTGGGCATTGTCTCTGGGTGGATGGTGTGCAACAGCTCAAGTAATTAAACACTTGGTTTCAAGGTACAAACACTTTCCAAGACCTTTTCAGAAACAAGGTGCTTTTGTTTAGACTCATCTCCGATAAGACTTTCTTGAGCTAGACCCCAGATATAAGATAGTCTAGATTAGTGGTTCTCAACCTGTGGGTCCCCAGGTGTTTTGGCCAACAACTCCCAGATATCCCAGCCAGTTTACCAGCTGTTAGGATTTCTGGGAGTTGAAGGCCAAAACAATGGGGACCCACAGGTTGAGAACCACTGGTCTAGAATGAGGTGCACTTTGTATTTGTGTCTGTTTTTTTTTGGGACAACTGAGATGTAAAGAACTAGGAGGCCCATTGGCAGGGGCGGCTCAACCCATTACGCAAAGTAAGCATTTGCAGTACAGTTGATTTTGCCCAGGGGCGCTCTTGGGGAAAAATAGACCTTGACATATGCGAGTTGTAGTTACTGGGATGTATAGTTCACCTACAATCAAAGAGCATTCTGAACTCCACCAATGATGGAATTGAACCAAATATGGCACACAGAACTCCCACGACGAACTGAAAATATATATCAGTGATTGGTTGGGGGGGGGGGGGGCAAAATACTGTTCGCTCACCGTTGAAAATTACCTAGGGCCGCCTCTGCCCATTGGGCAAGTTGTTGTTTTTGTTTTTTTCAAAACAGCAAGAGATTTAGTTTTATCCAAAAAGCAACCATTTTTTAGCATGATAGTGCTATTTCATATAATCATAGAGTTGGAAGAGAGATCGTGGACGATCCAGTCCAACCGCCTGCCAAGAAGCAGGAAATTCACATTGAAAGTACCTCCAACAGATTGCCATCCAGCCTCTGTTTAAAAACCTCCAAAGTCCAGGGCAGAGAGTTCCACTGCTGAACAGCTCTCACAGTTAGGAAGTTCTTTTAATGCTCAGGTGGAATCTCCTGTAGTTTGAAGCCATTGTTCCGCATCCTGGTCTCCAGGCTAGCAGAAAACACGCTTGCTCTCTCCTCCCTATGACTTCATGTAGATCCATGAACAAAAATCTCTCAATTTCATAGTTACACCCCTGATTTCATCTATAACAGTGGTTTTCAACCTAGGGTTCCCAGATGTTTTTGGCCTTCAACTCCCAGAAATCCTAACAGCTGGTAAACTGACAGGGATTCCTGGGAGTTGTATGACAAAAAACATCTGGGGACCACAGGTTGAGAACCACTTATCTATAAAACCAGGGATCGTACTATCTTTAAGTCTTTGATTTTTCTCATTGTACAAAGTAGGAATGGAAGATTTTGCTCAGTGTGAGCAAAGTCCACTGAACAGTTTGTTGGATATCCACAAATAAGTTGATTTCATCCCATTTCTGCATTACATATATGTCCATTTTAGAATCCATGCATTTTATGTGTATTACTCATAAAACACAAATCCAACATACATTTTAAATGTACATGTCTCCTTCCTTTGTAGTGCATCATGTACATTTCTCATTTGCCTGTAGTCTATAACTTTCTTCCCTAATATGCACATGTCATTTGGACAATTTCATATTTTATTCACCAAAAGGCAGGCTGATTAAAAAATATATCCCCCAGTCTCATCCCATGGTGTTTACTTGATTTCATTGGAAAAATACACCCTGATTTACATACAGAATGCAATTAATAACTCAGTGTTATGGAATCATTAATGACTTCTTGTCATCCTGGCCACACTCTGATGTTGTGAAAGGCTGGAGGATGTGCATTTGAATCAAGGGAATACATGCAGATGTTGACTTGTATTTCAGCAGTTGATTCAGTGAGTTGAGTTCAGGCCATTGTCAAATATGCTATTGGATTCCCTGAGAGAAAACATGATCACTCTTATGCCATCATCAAACTGTTTTTAATTTAATATAAGGAGGTTTCCTTATTTTCTTTGCTCAGTCATTGAAGTGTATGAGAGCATCACAGGGGAAGCAAACCAAAAGGAGTGAAATAGTACATCAGAGACCGTGCTGGAATATAAAGAGAGCAACAAACATGGGAAAGTCTTAGTTGTGGCTAGTTGCCGCTACTGTTCATGTTGGCCCATCCAGAATTAATGTGGTTGGTTGGAACTGTGGACTTGTTCACTGCTTTTTGTTTCTTGTGTATTTGTGGAGGGATTTTTCCTGGATCTGTAGTATTTTTGACTTTGCAATAATTGATAATTACAGCCTTGTACTTTCCATCCAGTTGGTTTGTGCCTGCTGTTCAGACAGTCCCGTAAGCAAGCTTTCTCTGCCCTTTTTCCAAGCTGGGCCTCAACTCATCTTTTCCACTCATTGGTTCCATCCCCATGACAACAGCAGACAGCTGTACTAACAGTTCAGGCGTCTGCACTGGAAGAAGGTGCAGGGCGCTGCCAGGTGGGCTGAAATTCCCCATCCGTTTGCATTAAATATATTGTACATAGGAGCCAGGCAGGCAGGAAATACATATCTAATAGCATGGAAACCAAGCTGTTTGATCTCGGCACCCTCTCTCCACCTGCCATCTGGGTGTGAGCAAATTCTTGGGGAGTATAAACAAACGCAAATGGCAGTGGTGCAGAGAGATCTAGCCAAATTGGCTATATATAGCCAAGGCTTGGGTGTTCTCATGCCTGCCTACAGAAGCTCGGGCACATGAGCTTTATTTCA